AGTTGAATTAAAGATTCAAGATGTACCTACCTACCTAAAATATTTATAAAAAAAACAAGTTTTACTTTTCATAAACTTATCTTTCTTATAGAGGCAAGATAGGTTTACTTCTCTAGCCTCGCTAGTCTCGTTTCTCTCTACTTTTTACCCCAGTGGCGCACAGTGGCACTCTTGGTGACGCTCGCGGCTTCCTGAAATTCGCACCGACACGGGGACTTTACGCTGACTGTACCGCATTCTTTCATAATTACGTCGGCTGCTGCGTATCCAGCCCCTAGAGATGAGGATAGGTCGCTGCAGGTGCCACACTACGAACCTACTGATTTCATGCCAAGCAGTGTGAGAAGGGCTGGCAAGTGGCACCGCACCACTAAATGCCTGCCGTAATTTGGCAGTGAGTACAAAATGCTAACTAAGCACGCATTTGTGTTGACATGTCTAAATAATATTGATAGGAATCAGTATCATGACGCTTCTCCACATTCGTAAAACCCATTTATTAGAAAATCTTTCTTTACCGTGCAACGCTACAAGAGTCCGTTTGTTCGGCTGAGCCCAGGCGTGTATTGCGGGCCTGCATACCTTCAGTCAAACATGGTGTGATGCGGGTCAGTCTACCACTCAGGCGTCGGCCGTCCGCTATCTCTCGTCGTTTTGAAGGAGGGCGGGCTGTGGCTGCCGGGGTGCGTGTGTTTTGTTCGGTTGATGCCTGGATTGCGGCACCGAGAGTTGCGCGGGTACGCTGATGTGGCTGATGCCGGGTGTGCCACAAACTCGAGAGGCTGCCAAAAGAAACTAGCCGAAGGACTGGAATGAATCAGCAATGATAAGTAACCCTGCCTCGTTGTACCGATCGGGGAGCGAAAGAGAGAGAGAGAGAGAGAGAGAGAGAGAGAGAGAGAGAGAGAGAGAGAGAGAGAGAGAGAGAGAGAGAGAGAGAGAGAGAGAGAGAGAGAGAGGCAGAGGTGTTAATTGGATAGGCAGGGACGAGACAGGGGTTTTATATATTTTCTCGTTTGCCATCTAATATTTTAGTCTCCGCTCTGTCTGTCTGTCTCTGTCTCTGTCTCTCTCTCTCTCTCTCTCTCTCTCTCTCTCTCTCTCTCTCTCTCTCTCTCTCTCTCTCTCTCTCTCTCTCTCTCTCTCTCTCTCTCTCTCTCTCTCTCTCTCTCTCTCTCTCTCTCTCTCTCTCTCTCTCTGTCTCTGTCTCTGTCTCTGTCTCTGTCTCTGTCTCTGTCTGTCTCTGTCTCTGTCTCTGTCTCTGTCTCTGTCTCTGTCTCTGTCTCTGTCTCTGTCTCTGTCTCTGTCTCTGTCTCTGTCTCTGTCTCTGTCTCTGTCTCTGTCTCTGTCTCTGTCTCTGTCTCTGTCTCTGTCTCTGTCTCTGTCTCTGTCTCTGTCTCTGTCTCTGTCTCTGTCTCTGTCTCTGTCTCTGTCTCTGTCTCTGTCTCTGTCTCTGTCTCTGTCTCTGTCTCTGTCTCTGTCTCTGTCTCTGTCTCTGTCTCTGTCTCTGTCTCTGTCTCTGTCTCTGTCTCTGTCTCTGTCTCTGTCTCTGTCTCTGTCTCTGTCTCTGTCTCTGTCTCTGTCTCTGTCTCTGTCTCTGTCTCTGTCTCTGTCTCTGTCTCTGTCTCTGTCTCTGTCTCTGTCTCTGTCTCTGTCTCTGTCTCTGTCTCTCTCTCTCTCTCTCTCTCTCTCTCTCTCTCTCTCTCTCTCTCTCTCTCTCTCTCTCTCTCTCTCTCTCTCTCTCTCTCTCTCTCTCTCTTTCTCTCTGTATATCTACTTCTTCCCTTTCTTCTACTTCCTCTGTTTTGGTCAAATATGGAATGGGAATAAATGGATAAAAACCAGTAAAAATAACTCACATTTTGCATCACTAATTAGTAAAAATTTGGTAGCTTGTTCAGTATCACTGCTTTTTACATTAATGGAATACCTATGCAGAAGCTTTTTTCTTAGGCAACAACTTACCTATTATCGGTGCTCCTCGGCAGTGACGTCCTCCGACACTCGCTCACCCTCACTCTCTGCCACTGCTGGCGCGGACCGTGTCTCCTCACCCCGCTCACACGCCGGCAGATCGGCCGCCCTTTGTTCACCTCTGCTCCACACCTGTGCCGCACTCACTCCCTCGATCCTCCGCCAGTTTTCCGCCGACACTCCGCGGCTCTCGGCTGTCCCAGATCCACCGACCGAAGGCCGGGGCTGAGCGGCGCCGCGCACCTGTGCACGCCCCGCCAGCACCTGGGTCGAACACCGATCGGAGGGATTTATTTTTACCGGCGGCGTGCAGCGCGCTGGGGCACGTGCCGTCCGAACAGAGCGTAACAACCGTGTACCGCACGGCTGAGTGTTCCAGCGCGACTGGAGAGGCCACTGCTCCGCCTCCGTCCAGACCGTCGGCCGCACGTCGGTTGGACGCCGGGCGAGACTGTCGGCTTCGACGGCCCCGTCGACGCCGCGCCCGCCGCCCGGACGCCGGTCTCGGGTCGTCAGCGACCTGCACCTGTTACCGGGGCGATCGATCGAGTTGGAACGAGATCACGACAAGCTGACTCGTGGAGTTATGACAGAAGTGAATTTTCTGCGGAAGACAAATCTGTGTTTAGTAGATCACCCATTTAGGCATGAGCTGTTGTTCTCTGTCATGTAAGGCACGTACAATTTTGCGAGACCTGAATGTGTTGAGGATGGTTTAAAAGTGCTTCTTTGACTTGATCTCTGCAAACGTTCGCTTATAACTTATAAGTTGTATGTACCTACGTACATAAGGAAATTAATGGCAATATTAACGGGGATTGTTTAATTGCTGTGGCTTTGCTATAATTTATGTGTACGCGAATTCATTGATTTGCATTTATAGTTTATGCTTCAGCTATATTAAGACCCGTGTCATGATCACCCACATACACAACCAGCAATGCAAAAAGACGTTTTGGCAAAAGTGACAGGTTTTTATAGACAGTACGAATGCGGATTTCTGCAATCGGATAGCGTTGTGCCGTGGTTTTAGGCGACCACTTCAAAGGCAAAGTGATCTTTTTAAGTATCATTTATTACCACCACCTGTTGGCTTATGTAACTTCAAAAGTAAATTACAAACAGCCGAAACAGGCTGTGATTTTTGCATAAAGAGCGGCACCTACCCCACCAAGGAGGCAGGGAAGGTGACGACTGGCAATCCCTCGCATTAGTGGCTTTGTTCGAATGCGGTACGCTGTTTCATATTGGCACGTGTAGCATTGTGTCAACCTGTGTCAAAAACCGCAATCTTGCTTGACTCTTGAAGGATCTCGAAACTTGAATCTTTTGTAATTTCATATTATAGCTGTAAAATTAACAAAATCAAATTATGAAGCTTCGACCGCGAGACGCCATTTTCATAACGACTATATTTACGCTTTCAGTTATTTCAAATGCAGAACATTGCGATTACAAAGGTTTACAGGAGGAGTGGATTCCATGCTCTGAGTCGCATGAATGTGATAATCCGAAATATCCACTTAAAGTTGTTTCTCTGAAAGATTTTTGCCCCAACGGCTGCCGCTGTTTCATTGACGAAGATCCAGACGCGCCTCTTCCCAGCCACTATTCGGAGACCACAAGACCGCCTCCGGGTCCAGACTCGGTGCCCACGTGTAACGGTGGCTGGTTCCTGATGGACGGCATGTGCTACACCCTGACGGACAGACCCGTAGCCGGCCACGACATCGTCAGTGCCTGCTCCGAGATGGGTGGTGCCACCCCAGTGTACGGAACCTCTGAGGCTGACAGCGAGTATGTCGTCAAAGTTTTGAAGAACTACAACCGACCCCTGGCCTGGGCGATTCTTCAGGCGAAGACTCGCCCGTCTACGGCCGACTGGACGCACTGGTTCAAGTGTTTGGGTGAAGACTGCAAGTGCACAACGATCAATGCTGACTACGGGCAATGGGCCACGCGAAGCTGTGACGACAAATATCCAGCAGCGTGTAAGCGAGAGCCCAGACACCAATACTGAGCCAACTTCGAAGCCTCGAAAATAAAAGTTTTCTTATTCCCTGTCAAGTAGGTGACATTATGCAACAATAATGATAATTCCAAAATTGCCAAAACATGTATTCGTTGAAACGCTATTTAGGCGAGCATGAATAATAAAGTTGGCTGTTGTATGCGTACCTTTGTTTATTGATAATTAATAAATACAAATGCAAGCTGTCAACTATCCTTTGTAGGCGAAGTAAATCACAATGGTGTGCAAAAATAATTTGATATTATCTCGTCCATATACATAACACATATACCTGTACTCGTTGGTACCTTTATTTTCATTTAAATACACGTGCACCAGATTGTCCCGGGAGGAGAACCCCATACCAGAGCCTAGATCACCTGGCCCACAAGAAATTCTGAAAAAAAAACAGAATTTTTGGAGCTGCCATTTTCTCTGGTATCAAGATGTACTGATCTCAGGCAGCTTTTGCCAAATTGTCAGGAAACTCAGATTTCTTTTTCAATAGAAAAACACAATTCTAACGAATAGTGTTTTAACTATTGACAACAACCCTTACGTTATCTCCAAATCTTCGGCAGAGTAGGCCGCTGATGAGAATAACATGTATGTTTTTCCTTTTTAGGTTTCTGCTTGAAAGCATAACGTTTTGAAACATCCCAATGAAAATAACATTCGAGTAAATTAATAGTTTAGTTAAAAATAATTCCACCTAGTTTTATTATAAAATAGGAATACGCTCGAACAATTTTTCCAGATCGTTTAGGCTGGTAGAATAGCAACCGATTGACTTCTCACATAAAACCTCAGAAATCAGTTTCATTTTTGGCCTTTGAGCCCGTTATACAGAAGGTATTGTCTTCATTTTGTGAGCTCACAAGAATATTATGCACTTCCATGATGCTTTTTTGTTGTTATAGATATTTTTTCTCATAGCTCATTAAATGGTTTGCTGGAAGATCTCCAAGTAATAAGTCACGAATATACCTACCAGCATATTTTTGGCCCCGCTGTCATTTGAAATCGCTGCTGAAATCATTTCATTTGACCATGCTTCGGGTAAATTATTCAGTTTTAGAATATTTATTGGTATCAGAAAGTTATAAGACTGCATTATTAGAATAACTATGCCGTAATTACTGATCTCAATAATTGATCTCCGAAAATCTGTCCAATCTTCCGACATGTGATCGAGCTGATCAAAGCGTATGCGCGTCGGCTGTGCGCGTCTGAGTTCACCACGGCGGGGGATGGCTCCCACAGCCTGGCGCCGACTAGGGGAGACGGGTCGCTGGGTCGGCGCCGTGTCGCCGGTGAGGATGGGCTCCAGTACCCCTCGCCGACGGCATCCTCATCATCATCGTCATCGTTCCGCTACGACACCTCAGCATCCCGCTCTACGGCATCAACAGTCGGGTCCGAGTGTCTGGCGAGCGAGACCGACATCCAGCGCTGGGTACGCACCGTGTCTCGGACCAGTCAGTACCTGGCATTGAAAACCTCAGCAGTGGCCCTACCGGCCGGAGCCACGGGCCTGGAAAATCTGGGAAATACCTGCTATATGAATGCCGTGTTACAGGTGCTTGCACAAACACAGGATTTGGTTAACTATATGGTGAGTGAGTTTTTCTACGAAGATTTGAATCAAAATTCAATAAATCAAGGTCAAATAGCGAAGGAAATCGCTCAGTTATTGGGTGTCATCTGGTCGCGAAAGTTTCGATATGTGTCGCCTCACCGTTTCCGTAATGCAGTTAGCGCACGCCGAAGGGACTTTGGCGGCATGCGCATGCACGACGCTCACGAGTTTATCATATTACTGTTGGAGTGGCTGCACGACGACCTGAACATTGCGGCCGCGGCTGGAGCGCCGCCTCAGAGACCGTCCGCCGACAACCTGCCCGACCACGAGGCGGGCGAGGCCGTGTGGCGCCAGTTCCGGCGCGCCAACGACTCGATCGTGACGCGCCTGTTCCATGGCCTGCAGAAGTCGACTCTGCTCTGCACCGCCTGCGGCTTCGAGTCGGCCACGTTCGAGACGTTCTCGCTGCTGTCGCTGCCGCTGGCGCTGCCGGCCGCCGGCAGGGCCAGTCTGTACCACTGCCTTGACCAGTACGTGCGCGGAGACCTCATCAACGACTGGAGCTGCCCCAAGTGCCGGCGCCGCCACGACGTCTACAAGAAGCTCGACCTGTGGCGACTGCCGCCTGTCGTCATCCTGCACCTGAAGCGGTTCAGCTTCGCCGGCAGCACGGCGCGCAAGGCGCACGCTCAGGTGTCGTTCCCGCTGCGTGACCTGGACCTCAGTCAGCTGGCGATCGGGCCGCACCCGGACTCTCACAGTCTGGTGTACGACCTGTACGGCGTGGTGGAGCACCACGGCAGCCAGCACAGCGGCCACTACACGGCCTACTGCTTCAACCACCCCGCCGCCAGCTGGCTCTTCATCGACGATACCGTGGTGAAAGAGAGCTCCGCTGCGAGTGTGCGCGACGCCACCGCCTACCTGCTGTGCTACAGCGCCAGGGAGGTGGCGTAGAGGGACGCTACCACCTACCTGCTGCGCTACATCGCCAGGGAGGTGGCGTAGTAGCGCAACACCACTGCCTACCTGCTGTGCTACAGCGCCAGGGAGGTGGCGTAGAGGGACGCCACCACCTACTTGCTGCGCTACAGTGCTCGCGAGGTGTTGTATGTAGAAAAGAAGCCAATGCCTACCTCTGCTTCAGTGCCCGAGAGGTCGTGTAGAGAGATGCTACAGCCTCTCCCCAAAGCTATATGTCCGGGAGGTAGCGTAGAAAGGCGTCGCCTACCTGCCCTGTTACAGCGTCTGCGGGCTTGCGTAGCAACGGGTGTCATCGCCTACCTCCCGTGATACTGCGCCCGAGAGATGGTGTAGAGAGGCGCGTCACCGTCTACGTTCCATGATACCGCGAGGTATCATGGAGCCCGCGAGGTGATGCTGATAGTTTGCTCCTATGCTCAACAGCGAAGCCTTGAGCGCGTGCCACTTTTGATTTGAGCTAACGGTTGCATTATTTCGTACCTTATTTTTCGTGTAATTATCAATGCAATAATTTATCGATTTATTTTACTTTTAGTAAGAATAAAACAATAATGCAACGATGCCTTTCGAGTGGATAGATGTGTGAGAATATAAAAAAAAAAAAATTATCTGGCATATGCTCTAAGATGCTTGGGGATGGTAATCACCTTTTTTCATTCCTGCAGAGCTAGGCTTCGGTATACAATTTTGATAAATAATGATTAAGTATATATTATTTCACAGGTACACTACATATCCCTACGTTGAATGGTTGTATGACATAACGGAACCTTACAGGCATTTCAAAATGGAAATAAGCAGAAATTCTTTATCGATATCAGACTGCGTCGTATCAGTAACTTACACAGTAACGGCAGCCGAACACCTGCCATCTCGGTCTGTCGCCAGCCGCTGCTGACACAGCTGACGCCATCAGTGAAGTACAGTGAGGATGCCAGCCGCCATGAGCGTCAGACGGGTGACTGTGAGCAGGGCGGCGCACCCGGCGGCGGCGGCGCTGAAGCGCTCCTCGGCGTACGGGTGCAGGATGGGACTGGGTGTTCTGTCCTCCGGGTAACCGGCCGGCTTGGAGGTGTTGGTGGAGACCCAGGCGGGCAGCTCCTCCAGCAGCGGAACCGTCGGCACCGCGCAGTACTCGTCGTGCAGCACCCACACTGGAGCGTACACAGACAGACAGACAGACAGGCACATGAAGTCAGCAGGTCACGTGGTGAAACGGGAGAGTTTAAAGGAACCCATTCCAGTGAGGATGTGCCATTAGTTATATATATATATATATATATATATATATATATAGGCTTACTGCGTTATATTGTTGAACACATATTCTATCGATATCATTCTTCCATTTCGCAAACTGTATGAACCGTCTCCGCTTTCTCACAATATTGACCTACAGGCATTTGCGTAACCAGTTTATTACCTGACTCGTTGATTGGTACGTAGTTTGATTCAATTCCCTCCACACAGGAGTCGTAAAACTCCATGGTCATTTCGCAGTGCAGGCCAGACGTCTCATCCAGACACTGTTGGCCTGAAATCAACGAGGAAAATTGGTGGTCGCAGATAAATTACATTACAAGCAGTTAGCGTACCTGATTACTGCAAATGATTGAGTAAACAGTTTATTATCTGCAGTAGATTATAAGATGATCAACCTACTGTAGTCAGGTAATATGCTGTTTTAACCCACGAGCCGCTGGGGGGGGGCATAAAGTTGCCCCCCCCTTTACGTTTTGTGAAATATCTCCGAACCCTGATGAGCTACGAACGTGAAACTTGGCATAGCTTCAAATGAATACCTAGGCAATGTTTGAGGAAAGTTTGGTGGTTGTAGCACCCAAGATGACGTCACAGTGACGTCATAAAGTTTTGTCGTTTTCCGATATGAACCGTTTCTGATGACGCTGAGCATGAAACTCAGCTGTAAATGAACTAGACAGCACCTGCTGTCATCCTAAAACACCCAACTACACTTCCATCTAGTTTCTGACCAATAATCGACCCTTTATATTCGGTCTCATATATCTGATGTATCGTGAGGAATATGAGAGTCGCAAATCTATAATTTCACTTATGACGTCACTGTGAAGTCATTTCAAATGGGATCGACACCAAATTTGGACACAACCTCGGCTAGGTATTCAGGAAGATGTGTGTAAAGTTTCACTTCTCTATCTCTTCGCGTTGCGACGATATCGTCGCAGAAGTAAAGGGGGGGCAACTATATGCCCCCCCCCCCCCAGCGGCCGGCGGGTGGCGCGGAGGCCCAGCGGCCGCCGGGTTAAGTTTACCTTTTAAATCCGATTATAATCCATCTAACGCGTGTTGATAATAGAAACGTTGTGTTTGTCATGGATTTTTCTTTTAGTTTTAATTTGTTGTGGCTTTCTATAGAGTTCACTGACCTTTGCTTTGAACTTAATTGACCTTGTGATCCTCGTGTTTATGCATTAGCAACAAATGGAATCAACAACATGACTGCACATTTTTGCAAAGAGCAAGATAAAATGTCAATTAGGTAGGAAGATACTTACAGATAAGTTGAGTAGTGGTCAAATTTGCAATGGGATAATCGTCGCTGCTTGCAGTTCCATGTTGCACGGCCAGAATACTTATCAATAAAAATAAAAGTTGTATATTCATGGGTTGCAAACAGATAACATTTGAAAAGTAATCGTGCACCTCAAGTGCCAGTCCATTACTGAAATATACTTTCAAGCGATTTCAAGAACGAAGGAATTTCAAATACGATATGGAACCAATTTTGACAGAGCCGATAAAACGAAAAGCATTTGATGCGGTTAGAAAAGGCCCTTGAAAAAGGCTATGAATCGAAATTAAAATGTTTGTATACCGTGACAAACATGGGAGCAATCACCCATCCCGCAGAAATGTATCTATAAGTATAGCTTTGTATATAACCTGCATGAACTCCATACTTGTCGTGTAAGCATACATGAGCTTTATCGCTTCCACAGGAGCCGCTTTCCTTTCGAAGCCTCTCAAACATCCTTAGCCACCAAACAGCGTGTATTTTACTATCGATGCGCAGAGGGCCTTCAGCGTTTGGAGCGACAAACGGTGACGAGTTGGGGTGGGCGTCTGGCGCGGACCACCCGGGAGCCTGGCAGGCGCGGCGGGACCCGGACACAGGGTGAACTGAACCTACATAGACTGAGCTATTCAGAGCGCTAAATGCTCCGACCGACTACTCCTAAACTCAAGTCGGGAGCAACTAGCGACTCGCCAAAGGGCGGCCAGTTTCACTTGGTCTATGTCGTTCTATATCTGACGGCTAGCAAGCATATTAGTAATGTAATGTGGACCATTATTGGGATTTGTTTTGACATAATCGTCATCGAAATTATTCTGAGCGCTATCATAAATATTTCTATCAGAAGGGAAACGGTGCTTAGTTCGGTTGAACTTTAACGAAATGCCTACTGGTCTGCCCCTTCAGAAGAAGGAACGAAGTTAGACAATAAGACAAGATTAATTTTGAATATTTCAAATAAATTATCCGTTATTGAATCGCGGAAATATCTTCAAATTAAAAGTGGTAACGGTTTTGTATATCCCTGTGAATGTGACGTTGCAGTGACCTCTGAAGAGACCGTGTCCGGGGTCGAGCCCTGCCTCTCCCCCAGAGTCAGGCCGCCGGGTGGTGCCGCCAGGGACATCTGGCGCCAAAAATTACAACTAGCAGTTAGCTAGAGGACAGCACAGTCGCCCTTCGCCGTCCGGCAGTGAAACGGTGCACCGGTGAAACCGGTGCTCGCTGACTCGGGGAGCGATGGGTTTCACTTCGCTCGAGTACCTAACACATATTCTGGTATGAGAAGGTGACATAACACATAACACCAAACACAAAATATTTACTACAACAGTCGAACGGAAACACAAGCCTCAAGATAATCAACGAACTTCCACGGATAATTTATCGAGCGAGCCGATAAATTATCGATAATTTATCGAGCGAGATAATTTATCGAGAGCCTGCGGGGTCAAGTTTTGACATTCACTGGGGACACTACACTTACATAGTTAGACAAATACAATGCGAGCAGAACATGTCACACAAACCTCGGACACAGAGAGGCAACACTGTTGCCGCTGGCTCAGGTAGCAGTCGCGCTCTAAATGTCGCATTATCGAGACGGCATGCCCTGACAATACGGTCAGTCGCTCATAAAGTGTACCTTGTTTATAAAAATAGCGAGACATCTACGACAACCCGACGGAAACCTCTCAGATTTTCACCAAAGCAAACAGTGAGACGTGTCATAACTCATAAGCGCCGTTGTTGGTCGTGAACGGATCTAAAAGTACAGGAAAATTAACCCGCGCCCTGGTGGGGGGGGGCTATTTTTTGCCCCCCCCCCCTCCAGACTTTTCGATATATCTCCAGAACCGCTGCGCCGATCGTCACCAAACTTTCAGTACCCTCCCGGACATCAATTTTACACATTGTGACCAAAAATTTATCCAAAGGCTATGATAGGTTGGCCGGAAATGACGTCAGAGTGACGTCATGTTCTGCCGTTTTCGACCCAAAAAAGGGTTTCGCGGGAAGAGCTGTCAGGCCTATAGCTTTGCAAATACAGAAAAACGATAAAGACATAAAAGCTGTAGAATCGACAGGGCTACAAAACTGCTATCTCGGATTTTTGAAATTTTTGGATTTTGACCCCCAAAAATCAAAAAATAGATTTTTTGATTATAATAGCCGAAAAATCCAAAAAGTTTTTTGAATTTCGAAAAACCGGAAAATATGTGATAGTCCTTACCGCCTTCTATCTACATACCAAATTTGAGATCGATACCTCTTTTTTTGGCCAAGTTACAGCGAAAAAACTGTTCAAAATTGATGACGTCAAATTTTCAAACTCAATTTTTTTGCAATTCTAGACCTCGTAGCGCAAAACAAAGACCACCATTAGACTCCCCGTGACGAGCTGCATCGAATCAATACCCATTTTATGCAAAAATATCAACTTTGAAATTTGACCTTTTTTGACCTGACCTTGACCTGACCTCCACTAGAAAGTGGCCTAAGCCGTACCTGATAGTCTTATAACCAACACCATTGAGTTGGAAATGAAAAATTGGCCATAAAACATGCATCGCACAACCTTAGTTCCTAAAGTTAGGTTCATGTGACCTGACCTGTGACCCTTGGTGACCTGACCTGTGACCTGACCTGGTAATGTCAGTGACCTCTTATAGCAATATATGTACTAGGCAACTGACGCCCTATCGCTGATTCTCGACAAAATGCGTTTTCTTCGGTATTATAGCGCATTCCCTAGATGACCCGTGAACGGTGAAACATTTCATCTTTGACCTGACCTGTGACGTCATCGGTGACCCCGAGGTCAATGAAATTTGGTTTCCTTCGACAAATTTGACAGGCCTTTCGAACGCCGTTTGAATTTTGCGGATCCGTCCAGTAGTTTCGGAGATACGAGGGGGGGGGGGCAAAAAATAGCCCCCCCCCCCACCAGGTCGCGTTATAAACAGACCCCACCAGGGCGCGGGTTAATTTGGGAACTGGAGTGAAGTGAACGTGGAAGCATGAAGATGGTTAGGTAGGTATACCATAGCAGTCGCACATTTTTTTTTTCTAAATAATTTTAGGTAAAGTATATTCAGAGAGAAGCGCAAATCTTACACGACATCGAGGAGAGATGGTACTGAACGGCGAACAAAACAATGCCCTTGTTTATATGACGGCCCTCACTTAACCCTCGCCGGACCTATTGGTTTTCTACATACGCGCCGGCCGAGGGGGGGGGGGGCGGGTACGACCCCCCCCCCTCGCCGTTTCGCCCCTGGTGGAGCTAGCGCGTCGCGGAAAAAACGAGCGTGTGCGCCGTTACGAGACGCAGAGATTGGTACCCGATTTTAAGGTCCTAGGTCAACCGGTGACCTCTGAGGTCAGGTCAAGTGCCCCAGGGTACTGTTCAGTTTTTGGTGAATAACTTCGCAAAAAACGGCCGCAGAGCCGCGATTTTGGCAGCATCGTGTTCGCCTCGCTCAGGCGCGTCGAATGATATACTTTTTGTTCGGGTCAGGTCAACTTAGGGTGTTGACCTCAGGTCAAGGTCAGGTCAGCACCCCCAGGTCACGAAGTTGGTCGAAAGAGGTCATGTCGCATATCATTCGATTCGGTTGGTCTTCCTGAGTCCATTGGTGGCTTTCTTGACTCGCTAGCTCAATTTGATCGGGAGTTATTGACGAAAAACTAATATGACCTTGATGACGTCATAAATGACGTCACGGAAGGGCAACATTGCAAAAGTGACGCATCTAACCTTGCAAGGAGTGCATCAAATCACGATTCTGTGTGCTTGAGATAGTTGGAGATCGTTCCCGGCGCCAGAATAGCAGTTTTCATTTTTCCCCATTGACTTATAATGGTGAGGTCACGAAAATGACCTGACCTCATATGACCTTTAGGAAAAATCCGAGATATACAAGTTGTGAGGCTCATAATGGATACTAGATCCTGCAAGTTTCATTTCCCTGTGACATCTCCTCTGGCAGTGAGGGCGTTGCGAAGTTGCGACATCTGAAGACCGTGCAGAGGTTCACTTATGACGTCATAGGTCAGTGACCTGACCTGATCCAAAAATGCGGTTGGTGTCAAAAGATGCGGCTTGGATCAAAGGTCAGGTATGCCAAGTTTCAGCTCTCTATCGCCAGCGTGTTCGGAGCTATCGCGAAAAAAACCCTATGGGGGGGCGGCACCCGCCCCCCCCCCCTCGGCCGGCGAGGGTTAAAACGGACAGTTTAACGTATAGAGACGCATTCAATTTTGAATTGGTGGTTGAAAAGGTGTGAATCGCTTTTAAAACACCTAACACAATAAATTTGAAAACGTTTACAGTCATACTACGTGTGAAAGTGACTTGTGTATGGTGACCTTTGACCTATGACCTAGTGACCTATGTAATAATGAATAGAAAGAAAATATTGAAAGAGATAGGGATAAAGCTCGAATTGGATCTAACTTTGTAGCTCCACAGACGTTACAAGCCTTGATACTCAACGAATCAAAGACTGACTGTCTCACGACTCACAGCTATGAATGGCAAAGTGACCTCTAAATGGCACGTTTCTGAGTTACAATCTAAAAGCTTCTCTTAGAACGTTTCACGTCACCATCAACATACGAATGTCACCATTTCATAGTTCAGTTCAACGCTTTTATGTAAAGGTAACCAGTTTTGGGGCGATTTTGGTGATGAAAACGTTAGCTAGCAATCACGTTCCGGAGGAAAATGTGTTCAGTCATGATCAGGAAGCATGAATATCTTTTTGGACGTCCACGATACGCAGAACATAGCGCTTCAGATTGCTTCCATGTAAATCGGCGCACGCAGCAGACGACGCAGGTGCAGTGCAGACTACAGGATAAGAGTTGAGCATCGATTTGAGCACCATCTATGGTCGTTAATTAGCCGCAGATCCTGTCAGAATTAATTAGCTCATCAGCAGCAACGCAAGGCCTTTGTCTAGTACCGGCAACCGCAAAAATGCGACTCGATAATTGTTCGCCAGCTCGGAAAAATATGTAGAGAACCATTGCAATGCACATAAAATGCTAATTTTTGTTCTTTTGAGGATGGCGTGTGACAAGACAAAATGGTGTAAGAGTTGGTATGAGTTCTCTTGTAGGGTTAAGTACATCAATGAAAGCACATTTACCACCCGCTGCGCTTCGAATTGAACCATAGGAGGATCAGCATGCCGTACATCAATGGATCCATTCCACACATAACATCACAAACGACAGTCGATATCGTTCATAAAAACTCAACAGTTATTTGCAACCAATAATTACCGGGCTATGATTGACGATAAAGCCATGCGAAATATAACTGATTCTATCTCCATGAAGCTCTAAACGAAAGCATTATTGAAATTTTGCAGCTATTTTTAAATCAAACGCGAGAATAGCGAACATACCACACGCCTTCCCGTACAGTTACAGCGGTCGCAGTCCTTTCAGTTGCCAGCAGCACTGTCGGCTCCTGACCCTGTCAGCTCTATGACCCGCCGCGTTTGACGTACCAGCAACACTGTCGGCTCATGACCCTGTCAGCTCTACCCGCCGCGTTTGACGCCCGTTCGGCCGACCGACTCGCCAGGCGGTGGTCGGCCTTTTGATTAGCACAAAGCTCTGCATTGTTTGCCACTACCTGCGGCCGTCTCTGTCTCTCTCAGATACCTAAGTCCGGCAGTGACGCGCGGACGCGGTCTGTCGGCTGTCCGCAAGCCGGTCTGATCGCTGTGGTCCACTCTGTTTCCCACATTGGCGCCACATAACACCGGTTCTGAAGACGACAGATGCCTGCCTCGGACTCGGTGCTTGTCGCTGACTCATCTCGCCACTCACTACAGTTGGCTCGGACGGGCCTACATTCGGAGAGAGTACCGGCATTCCGCCCGACTCTGAAGTCGCACACTGGCGGCGCCTCACTGAGGGTCCACTAGACCCGTCCCCGGTTCTCACGGACATGGTCCCCTACTGTGACCGGTGGCTCCGGGTCCGCAGCCCCGTCCCGGTGCGGGTCGCGCCCCCGGGCCTGTAAAGCGGCGGGTGTCCCCGGGGTCGCGCACATCCTACCGACCGCGCTGTCGGCCGACACACAGGTACTTTTGATGACTTCTCCGGCGGCGCTGGCCCGGCGCCCCGCGGCGGCGGCCAGTGTCTGAGCGGCGCGCTCACAGCGGGTCGTAGCCACGGTCCAGGTGCGCCGCTGGATAAAACACTGACCCTCGTGACCGGTACCGGCGGGCGCCCCACGGCTCCGCACGGCTCCGCCCGCTCACTGCTGCCTCACGGCTCCGCCCGGGCTCACTGCTGCTGGCTGCGCAGCTCAGAGCACACGGCAAACACTGCGCTCGGCAGGTGACTGGTTTCTGCTCAGAACACGCCATGAGCGCAGATACACACACCGAGGAGCTCTGAACTTTTGGCGAGAGCCCGTCGGCGCCAGGACGGAGCGGCGACGAATCTCTCGGGTGACGCACAAGTCACCGTGACGTGTGAATAGCTCAGCCAGGACCGCGAGATCTCATCAGAATCTCTGCCTGGCACTCGGGTCCTCCCTCAGACGGCGGTGACGTCCTGTTCCCGGCTGCCGTCCGGAGTCGTCACCACGATGTTGTGCTGCCGCCTGCCTCCCCCGAACCGCAGCCAGCTGGGCAGTTTGAGCCGGCGGCGGCGGGTCCCTGCGCGCTGCCCCCCGGCCGTCACCGGCCTTCCGGTGGCGTCCAACAGACCCTGGCTCTCGGTGGACTTTGAGCCGGGGACTCCGAGGAAGGTGGCGGGGGGATCGGCGGGGCTGCCGCCGCGGCCGCGCACCGAGCTGCGCGCGCCGTTCACCGAGCGCTGAGAGCGCAGGGAGCTGCGCTTAGAGCTGTTACTGCGCGGAGAGCCGGTTCGCGAGAAGTCCGAGACGTTGCTGTAGGCTGTCGGTAGAGCAGACGGTACACCCGCCGCCTTTCCGAACCAGCACCGGCAAAACGTGACAAGAAATGTCTTGCGGTACTTGTCGCTGAGCGCGCAGTAGAGCACGAAGTTGATGGCGGCGTTGATGGCCACCAGCAGGTTGAAGATGTTGCCGAGGATGCGCCGAACGCCGTCCTCGTCGCTGCTCTTGGGCGGTGAGACGGTGTAGATGAGCATCACGGCCGAGGGCAGCTGACACAGCATGTAGATGATGACCACCGATATGAGCATGATGGTGATCTTGTTCTCCTGCTGCTGCGACTGGCTCTCGCCGGCGCAGAGGACGGCGCGCTGCCGGCGCGACTCCTTCACGGCCAGGATCAGGAACATGTTGAAGACGGCCAGCAGCACTAGCGGTATGAAGGTGAAGACGACGGCGCTGAACCAGTAGAAGGCCTTCTTGTACTCGTCGTTGTCGCCCAGGTGTTCGTTGTAGCCGGTGCTCAGCACGCTGCTGTTGGTCTGCGGAAAGACGGGAAGATGCCAGTCTCAGAAAGGTTCCAACACGGTAGCAGGGTCTGGAGCAGGCAAACGGGTCATATTCCTCAATGATCTGCTTGGCACCAGAACGCTGTAGTTGGCTGGTCGTTTCTGGGACTGGAAGTTCGTCCTACAAGGAATATCGAAGATCACTATTTCAATTACCAAGGCAATAAATAACCCGACTGAATATATCCGAGGTCATGTCATCAGATGGGTCAATCGGTTAAATTGTTATATTTTGACAGTTGGCACTGCTCAAAACATAGACGAGCAGCAGATCAGCGCACACCAAGCTCCCACATCGCTCTCCCTCTTCCTTCCCACTCAGCATAATCTGCCCCTCCACCGCGCCGTCCCCTCTCACCTCTTCATCGAGCCGCTCCTTGACCTCGAACTCGAACGGCGTGGAGAGCGTGGTGAGGAAGCAGAAGAGGTAGACGATGACGATCATCCGGCGCGCCCGCGACTCGGTGCAGTAGACCTGGCCGCGGATCGGGTGGCACACGGCGATGTAGCGCTCCACCGTGAACGTCACCGTCAGCCAGGTGGATGTGCTGGCTGCAAAACGAGGGGGAGGGGCTGTTAAAGCTGGCTGCAAAACAGGGTGTTAGAGGTATGTGCTGGCTGGAAAAAAAAACAAGGGAAGGGCATGTCAGAGAGACGAGCTTGCTGCAAAACGAAAGGAGGAAGGGGGTGTCAGAGAGGTGTGTGAGATGGAGGGAGTGTCAGGGAGTGTGCTAGAGCGGGAAATGTCTGTATAGGTAACTACATAATACATATATAATTTGAATTAAATACACATCGATGCTGTGCCGGTGCCGCACTGAGATGGTCCGAATGGAGAGGCCCGTCGTCCTGAATTGGTTGGCGAACACGAATGCACTTTGTTTCCGAATCACGCAACATATTTTGCACAGCCACTATTCAGTGCCTCGGTCTAAAAAAAAAATAAATCAACTAACGAAGTTAATGATACTTTGACGAAGTTTTACAAAGGGCCGTGAACAAGCACTGTGCTGCCTGTAGAGCTATGCCAGATTTTAAAAGCACTTTGGGCGGATTGCGAAACGCAATCGAGAAGTTAGCGGAACATCAAAGGATTGCGAAAAGTCACAGGAGTACGTACATTATTTAACATTGTTTCCAATTGTTCGCAATGAAAAAATTGGAATGTTAAGTACGCTTTTGAGGCTGTGCGGCTGTACCCATGCTAATGCATTTTTTCTTAGTTACTTCTGAGTTATGAGTGGCATGCTGACTGGCAAAATGATAACCTTCCGACAACGGACATATGCATGATGCATATGCATGAATAGAACTACCGTCAATCACTGCTGCTGTGTAAACAGCGAAGTAGCGATTTTTCTCTTTTCATTTCTAGACGGTCTAAGCTCTGGCGCACTGGGCCAGCACCTAAGAGAATGAAGGCGTCTTTCATACCCGTCTGAATTTTCGACTCCGTCTGTCACTTACTGCCCTGTCTGACTGCCCGACTTCCTGACTGTCTGACTGTGTTTGTCAATTTCACCGTCTACAGACCGTGCCTCAATCTGTTTGCCTGATTTGTTTCCTGACTTACTGCCCCGTGTGACCGCGTGTAGAACCTATTGTGTCCCGCATGGCTGACCGATAACTGACTGGTCGGCTAACTAGGCTGTTCGTCTGCTCATGTCTGACCTATTCCGCGGACAGCGCTGATGGTGAAACATGGGAGCGTGCTGCACCATAGTTCACCCGCCTCCGATGCTGCCTTCGTGCAATCCGTCCCTCAAATGTCACTTAGCGCCGAGTTAGACGGATTTCCAGTCGGCTCCTGTCAGCCCGACCACGTATTCTTCATTCCTCACCGCCGGTGAACAGGCGAGCAAAGCATTTCGGGCCAGATGGAGCAATGCATTTGGGAAAGTGCATACGTCGCCTGATTTATTGTGGCAGAAACTCGGGCGGCGTGGGCTCCAGTGCCGGTGGACGAAGCACGAATAATGTAATGCAGCGTGAGTGGGGTAATTCTATTAGCGAAAACGCCTATTCCAGTGAATACGGATATATTTCTTCACCGATTTGGGTTAATGTGATGCATACTATTTATTGTGCATGTTTGACACTAAATACCTACCTAATATACATTACACAAAGCAGTACAGCTGAGCAGTGTGCAGCCAGGAATGAATGAATAAATTCAGACGGGCCAGTGACCACTCCCCTACGGCCAGTGCCAAGCCAGTCTCCTTATAGAGATTTTGTATAACAGTTCTTATTATTGTGTCATAAAATGACGCCACTTATGATATCTTAGATTTTTTTCAATAAAGCCATTTTAAAGCTTGTGCATGCCTTTTCATAGGTACTGATTTTTGAGACGAGCATGATTACGGAGCGAGCGAAGCGAGCGTAGTCTTTCCTTAGATTAACGGAAATTTCTGAGTATGAGCGGCCGGCCGGCCGGCCGGCCGTGGTCACGCTTTTGCGAGGCTTATATCTCAGCAACCACTTGACCGATTTACATGCGGTAATTTTTGTAGGGTAGCTTCATTCCTTCTACCAAGTATTGCACTATTCCCGATGCATGTGGGTGACCCCTTATGCACGTGCCACGTGCAAAACGAAGAGGTGTCACTTTTGTAATTGTTGCAATATCTCGGTAACTACTGGGCCGATTGCGCTGAGAGTTGGCATGTAGGTAGGCACCCACTAGGCAATGCATATCCATGTGCCAGAGTTGGGGTGCTGCTGCACGTGCGCACGTGCAGGGGTCGTTTCCAGATCTCGAGAACGGCTGGACCGATTGCGCTCAAATTTGGTACACGGTTACGGAGCAGTTAGTAGGGTGCCGTGCACAAGTCAGTTGGGACCCATTTTGCACGTGCGCACGTGCAGGGTGCCGCTTCCAGATCTCGAGAACGGCTGGGCCGATTGTGCTCAAATTTGGCACATCGCTAGAGACCGGTTAATAAGGTGCCGTGCACAAGTCAGTTGGAGGTACCTCCTCGCAAATTCGCACGTGCAAGGCCCACCCTCTCGCTCGCTCCGTTAGTCGCCACAAAAGGCGTTATACTGGTTTAAAGAATGCATAAACAGAATGGTATGGTCATAGATAACAGCAGTTCTACTGTTATCTATGGTATGGTATGCATGGTATGAAATGGAATGGTATTGGTATGCAATGAGATTCTAAAATACATATAGATTATGCATGCATAAATTGATAACTGATATCGCGTACGGCGTAGCATGAACAAAACACTTCGTTAGGAATTCCCCTGGATATCACTAAAATAGTACCTAATGCATCTATTCTGCAAATGTGCATTATGCAATATGAATTTGACAAAGTAGGGCAAGCAATATTGCATTATCGCGGCGCAATAGCTCGCAATTTGAATAAATTTTGATACAACCTAATCTAACTTACGCACTTTGGATGTGGTTAATGAGACAGCTCATGTCATATGACCATCCACCTTTCAAATCGTCCGTAAGTTTCAGGCTCTTGTGAAGAATCAGACGCTGATGTTCCTACTCCCTATGCGGCGGCGATGGCCATGCTATGCATATGGCACCCATTCAGACGCGCGCTGCGGCTGAGCGCCGCTAATCAATGCCTCGGCTGACGGCCGTTTGGTAAAAATAGAGCGACATGGAGCGGGGATCTGTATCAGCTTCTGTCGTTCAACTCATCTCAGTCGGAATCCGACCACAATCTGAGCTGACGCCGCGGGGCGCCGGACGCCCCCGGTCCGTCACTCAGGCTGGGCGCCCCCGTCCGTCACTAAGGCTGGGCGCCCCGGTCCGTCACATGGGACAGGGCGTCCCGCAATCGCAGCCGCTCGGCTGCACCGCGCCCCGGCCCCGGTCAAACGGTGATTCTGCCCGTCTTCCGCTCTGTTCATGTCGTCTGACGTCTACCATCGGCAAGGATAATTGGAGTGAAAAAACAAGGACACAAAGGCGAGAGGATAGAAACTGGGCTGCCACATACAGTACAGTTTATTCTTGCAGTTTTAGGAAAAGTGAGCTCACTTTCTCAGAAGAGATGGAAATTTATTCGCAAAGCTCGGTTCCATCGAACCTTGATGCGCATGCCATGTTCCATTTGCCGATGGTGGCGGCGCGCTAACCAATTCCATCACGGTCTGCGCCCCTCAGTCCCAGCGTGGACGGTCAGAGAATGTCAGCGACAAAAGGTCGCGATCGAATCCCCCGCGCCATCCGTCGCGGCCGACCTGGAAACTCCCTGCTCACTCTCTGGTGAGAGGGGTGGGTGAGAGCCGCGGAGCCGGCCCGGAATAGCGCCGGCCGCCGGCTGGTGGCCGCCGCAGCGCCGCCGGTGCTCATGAATGTGCCCTCGGGGAGCCGGCGGGTCGGTCCGAGTGGCCGTTCGCCGCCGGCCGCGGTACCTCGCGGTCGGCAGCAGACGTCGATATGGCGCTCCTGTGTTGAGAGGGCGTTAGGTCGCGGCGGGCGCCCTCCGCCTGCGCAGCCCGGGTGCGGCCCAGCACGTGAATGCACTTAGATGCCGCGATCTGATGTTGTGATAATGGCGGAAGGCTTATACGGCCGGGCGGCGGGCGCGGCGGTGCGCTCCCACGCTGTTGGCCGCATGCGGACGGCTGCGCGGCGGAGCGCAGTCGGGTGGTGTCCTGATGAACGGCGGTGTCGCCGGCTATTTGTCACAGGGGCCGGCCGGCTGGGCCCGACACACCAGCCCGTGGCCCTCCCTGTATGGCCCGCCGAGGGACCGGCAAAAGTCCGCGCATATCGGAGCATCAGGCCGCGACCACAGCCGGCCGGCCTCATCTAAAAACCGGGCCAAACCCAGTCGCGGTTACGTCATCATTCAACCCCAGCGCACAGGAATGGCTGTCGACTTGTATTATTTGATATCCATCATCCATTGATAAAATGCCGGTGGTCCGCGGGATGCCTTATGTGCATGTCAGCGCGGGTCAAACAAGACAGGTGGCCTCCGTAAAGAGCCATAATCAGTAGCGCAGCAGACTCCGGCCGCAGAATGCCCTCGCCCACCGATACGGACACATTTGGAGCCAGTCACAACCGCAGGATACTTTGTCGGGATATGCGCACTTTTACAATCCAAATTCAGCTGTGGTATACGTCACCCCACACGAGCTAACGCAGGGGATGCTATGCCGATTGACAGGTGCCTTAGGTATGTGCGTCGCTGACTGACGGAGCCGATCTATATCTGCAAAAGATAGGCATGTTTTTTTAGACATGCCGACATTTATGGTTGCGATTTTCCACCGATGACTAAATATACTGGTCACCGGTTTCCGTAGCAAACGTATATGTATTGTATGTACCTACATATATTGCAGCAAAAAAAAAAACATATTGGACCGGATTCTAAAGGGAATTACATCAACAAGAGAGGAAAATAATGCTTCATACCTAGCATTTTTGCAGAGAGCAATCATATAGTGAAACGGCACTAAGCCGTTTTTCTATTTTTTACAAAAGCTGCCTTAGCAAGAGCCTTTAGATATTGCTCCCATAAGGTCAACGTCAGGTTAGGAAACAAAATCAGGCATTATTGGGTAGCAACTCGTAAAAAGCACAAACGTCAGTCAATAAAACCGCAATATGATGCATGCCTTGCGATACATAAATAAGCATTATTGGAACATTCAGGCCTTATGAAAATGTTAAAAGCCTGGCATTACACCATACCTCAATTGAATGAACGTGAGCAGTCTGCGATATGACATTTCCCGTAACCAGAGCTCCAAGTAATATCCTCCGACTCGACTGGGACTAGAGCTGCTCTCTGTACCAGCTTATATCGATCTCAGGTGAGCAAACTCCAGAAAGCAAACTTGTGCGACGACACCGTCGAACCTCGCACTGTGCGTTGGCTCTGAATGCGATGAATTATTTTGAGAGCGGGAATAGATCAGCGGAAGCACTGTGCCGAGCGACTCCTGCAAGGCGAAGTTTGCTCATTACGATATCCGGCTAAACTTAGACACGCTCAAGTTGGTGATTTTTTTTTAACTTCGCCTCGCCGTCATCACAAGGTCTCGAGCCCTATTGAGCGAGACGACGCAGCATGGGCGCCTAAAATGCAAGTACAAGGCCTGGCATCTCCCGCGAAATAAGACGGACGGGATTCCTTCAGAAGGGGGTCAATGTCGTCCTGAATTGCGAGTCTCCAAAGCCACGTTTTACGGGATACCTAAACAGTTGTGTTCGGGGTTGAATGGCAATTAGCAATCATGCTATCCTACCCCACCACTCACCATGTGTTTCCAGCTGATTGATGATCGCTTTAGGTGAGGAATCCCAATAAGGATGTATTTATAGTTAGTTACTAGCAGACATGTGCTTGGATCCGAGAGCTGGATCTATGATCTCAGTGGATCTCTCGACAAAATAGAGGGGTTGGATCTATGATCTGGGTGGATCTCTCGACAAAATTCAGGGGTTGGATCTATGATCCGAATGGATCTCTCGACAAAATTTAGGGGTCGGATCTATGATCTCTGTGGATCCAGCGGGCAAAAATTTGTGGAGGACCTATGATCTGTATGGATCTCACGACAACATGTAGCCAATGAAACCCTTATCCTACATAATTGTACACCTTACAGTGCAATACAATTGAGAATTATCACTTCTGGACATGGTTATTGGTTAAGACCACTTGTAATCATTAGGTATCATCATTAAATTTGAATTTAAATAAACAACATTTGTACTACATTTAAAATAAACCAAGAACATGCATATTGCTACTTTTTGTGACCAATTGTAACTTTTTCATGACAGCACTGATGACAATCTTATCAACAAGCTACAGCCACTTTAATTCAATGAACAAGCAGTGCAGACAGATGCAGTGGCAGCAGGGCACTGCAGATTTTCATTTTGGTCCCATTCTTTCCATGCAACGCCAGTAGGGCTAATGTTAAAATGCCAAAATCTATGGGGGGCACTGTACCCTGGTGCCACCCCCCCCCCCTGTTCTGCCGCCTATGGACAGATGTTAGGGAATCAAACCTGGAAGCCAAATAGGTCAGTTTTGTTAAAAATAATCCAGCAATCCACTTCTGCCAGGTATGAAATCCCAATCCAGAATGTTCGTATGAGCTATTAGTATGTGCAACACAATTTCGATTTAGTAAGAATAGCAACCAACCTCTAATACTTTCCTAATAAAATTACAAGTTCAAAAATGGCATCAACTTCTTCAGATTACCTACTTTTGGCATCGTGCCACGTGTGATGCCATGCTGTGCTTTTGTTATGAGAGAGCCTCCCAAAAAAAGACAAACGAAATTCACAGCTCACGTTTTGGTAATATGGTTTTATTACGTCATTATCGTTTGACCAATGAAAAATCTTAATTTGACCAAAACCGTAATGATTCCAAAAGATTCCCCGTAATAGGCCCTTTAAACTAATGACGTAAGATATTTTTATTCTTTTGAAAAATGAATAAAACAAAGATGCAAGGCGCACACCGCTCTGGGCGATGTAATACCGTGTCAGCTTACTTTTACGTCATTAAATTCAACGCTACAAGGATGATATTCACAAACAATCGTATCGTAAAATTATGTGAGGCAGAAAAAATGAACATTCTTAAAAAAAAAAATCCAGACATTTGAATTTCCAGTTTGATTTTTTATTTATTTTCATTATACTCGAAGGTAGAACGCCTAGCTCATTTGTTATTTGAAATGACGTCACGAGTTCTATTTAGATACTGAATAATCATTTTACGGTAAATATCCAAGGCCATTACAATTGATATTTCGCTTCCCATCGCTTCCGCAGGCTGTTGAATATTTTTATACTTGTGTTTATATCTCAGTTTATTTTATCAAATATTTCTTTCAATAGATTGAAATACCTTTACCTAACCAAGCCACATGTGTCAGTATCATCTTTTATTGTTTATCAATCAATTGTGGTAGCTGGCAACTGGAAAGCCTCATGGTTGTCTAATGCAAGATTGTCTTATCAATATCATTATGTAGATTCTAACATGAATTGTGATGTGGTAGGTACCTAGTTATGTATTGTTCATTAGTCATTACTTTGACTTACCTCTATGTTAATTGTTAATGCAAACTTTTCTGTTGGTAGGTATGTGAACTGTGAACAATCTTCATGTCACTCAATTCTCTCAAGTTGTGACTGTCATGAGCCTCCTTTATTTTGTATTCTGTATAATGTAACTGGATGCCTTTACTAATATGTCCTTTGTATAAGACTGTTTGTTTCTAACCATACTTTGGTATTCATAACTTCTTATGAAAGAAAGTTGTTAACATTTTGAGCACCTATGAGCTATGATCCCAATGGATCTCACGACAAAATTGGGGAGCCAGATCTATGATCCGAGTGGATCTAGCGACAAAATTGAAGGGTCAGATCTATGATCCCAGTAGATCTCTCGACAAAATTGAGGGGTTGGATCTATGATCTGAATGGATCTCGGATCGGGATCCATGGGATCGGATCTCAGATCCATTTTTCCGGATCCAAGCACATGTCTGGTTACTAGCTTATCAATCGTAAACCGTACTTGTCAGTTGTCTGCTAGATAATATCTTATTACCTATCTTTTTTTTTGTCTGGTGAGACTGAAATGACGTTGCTATGACAATACCACGAACTTTGGTTTGTGAAAAAGGTTACCAATGTATTCGGTCACTTAGAAAAAAGATTATTGCCACCACCCCTTACCCCCTCACCCTCCACTATGGGTGATGTGTCACCAGAGTATCCAGAAGATGCACACTCCCCGTAACACCATCAGTAAACGGATCGTGCACAAGAAGGCGGCCGATGGATGTTTATCGAGGCATGCTAGCCATTTGCAGACAGTCCTGCGGACTCTCGGCAAATCTCCAATATCAGTGTCTGTTTATCATGGTGTCCGTGTGCGGTGGTTCTCGGACACATTTCAGCACGTTGGGATCTTGATGACGTATCTCCCGATCACCCAGACTTAGGATGCAGTATGGACGTTCTTTAGGCGACTGAACGGTAGCCCGTTCAGTGGCATTAGGCAGACAGGCCGCCGCGTGACCCGCCTGCTAATGCATTATTCGCCGGCCACTGCCGATAGCTCGATAGGATGCGATGGACACGGCGGCGCCGCAGTAACGGGGTGGACACGGCCCGTGTCTCACAGACACCTGAGGGTGATAGCAAATCGGTGCACTGGCGGGGGCCTGTCCTCGGTGGCCGGCAGACAAACCGACTCTGCGGGCGATCTGACTCGGGACATCGTTCAAACTATCAACGGCATCGTGCAGGTCATCAATCACAAGTGGAATTCATTCAAATGCAAAACTTTGAAAGACAATAGGTAACATACAATGCGAGTAGCACATCTTCCATAAATTTTCTTTCATATGAAAATGTGTATTGATGGTAAGAGTTTGCAACATTCTTGCATGGTTCTTTCCATCTGCAAAAATGCCTGCCATTCACCTGTAGTTATATTCATTCAGCAATCGATGCTCCTAACTATGTACGTCCGTGTACGTCCAAGTACGTCCGTCTACGTCTGTCTACGTCCGTATAGGTCTATACCAGCACAGGTAGACTATAACCACTTTACACAGCTAACATTCTAAAACCATTTTTCTGACCCCAGCTGACTAAACTAATAAGGCGACCCGTTAATTGTAAGGTCCTAAAATTGGCCAGACTCAAGCTGGATGTCGTTAACACTTTCCTGCCAAGATCATTGCCCTCCTCGTTACACAGAATCCCGGCTTAATTAGGACCCGGACGCGAGCAGATTGTCCCGCCCTATCCCATCTCACGGCCGGCGCGCTAAATACGTCAGACCACTCAGTGTGCGCCAGAGCTGATTCCAAGAAGGTCAGTGGTGCCTGTTGATGGGCGACATCGGTGCTTTTATTGCCTGCGTTCGCGAGCATTAGGTGTTTGTGATTTACGCGAGTGACTTATATCTAGACAAAAATTGACATATATTTGCTCTTATGGTATTATATATTGCACCTAGTGTTTTGGCTATCTGATAATGTTTGATTGCTTTTTTATTGGTTTACATCATATATTGATCTCACAAGATCATTGCAGCTCATGACATGCTAAGAAAATAGGGGAAGTAATAGGCAATGGCTTTCTGGTGCAATTAGTAGGTAGTTGGTGGGTGCTTTTCTCGACTGACCCGTTCTCCGGCTACCAGCATCTGCGATGCTGGGCTCCGCATCGCGGGACCGCAGGTTGTTTGAGCAAGCACCTTTGTAAGCGCAGCAAAAACGCCCGCCGCCAAACGAGAGGACGAGCATTGCACGTGCAGACCGGAGTGGGTGTGCTACAAACTGACGTGCACGGCACCCTATTTGCCGGTCTATAGCGGTGTGCCAAATTTGAGTGCAATCGGCAGCCGTTTTCGAGATCTGGAAGCTCCACTCTGCACGTGCGCACGTGCAAGCTGGGTCCCTATTGAGTTGTGCACGGCACCCTATCCGCCGGTCTCTAGCGGTGTACCAAATTTGAGCTCAATCGGCCAAGCCGTTTTCAAGATCTGGAAGCGACCCCTACACGTGCGCACGTGCATGAATTGTTCCCCAACCGTGACACACGGACTAACTGACTTGTGCACGGCACCCGACTGACCGGTCTCTAGAGGTGTGCCGAATTTGAGTGCAATCGGTCCAGCCGTTCTTGAGATCTGAAAGCGTCACCCTGCACGTGCGCACGTGCACGATGGGTCCTAACTGACTTGCGCACGGCACCCTACTAACCGGTCTCTAGTGGTGTACCGAATTTGAGCTCAATCGGCTCAGCCGTTCTCGAGATCTGGAAGCGTCACCCTGCACGCGCGCACGTGCAGTTGCACCCCAACCGTAGCACATGGAAACGCATGGCCCGGCGGGTGCCTACATCCGTGTGTAGTTTCAGCGCAATCAACCCAGCAATTACCGTGTTATTGTCTGTTGTGTGCTGGGAACATTCCGGAGCGGTTACCCATCCCCAGTGCGCGGGTACCCGCCCAGTTTGGTCTGGCGTCTCGCTGTCTGTGTCTGGCTGTCTGGTGTCTCGTTCTGTGATTGGCTGACCGTTGATCGGTCAGTCACGTGATCGTATCGGACGGTCAGGGCCGCGTCGTGCTGGCCGGTCGGTCGGGAGAGGTCGGTCGGTCACCGCTGAGCCAGCCGTCGGTATGGTGCTGTTGCTAAAGTAAAATATACCGCACCCGGTTTAACAGAGTGTCTCAAGATACAACAGTGGCGACGAGGCAAGAACCCACGGCAAGATGAGTGATTCAGATGAGAGGAAGCCGGCAACAGGTATCGCAACAATGCACCAGCCCACGGTATGTCTCACGTCCGCCATTGGCGAATTTGATGAACGTCAAGGCACTTGGAGGGATTACATTGAACGATTTGAGTTCTTTTGCGAGGCTCAGGGCATTTCAGAGGATGATAGAAGGAGAGCACTTCTCTTGGCTGGTATTGGGCAAACTGCGTATCAAAGAGTCAAAACCATTCTGGCACCCACCCGACCCTCTGAGATGTCATATAGAGATATTGTCATGGCCGTGCAAGATCATGTGGATCCGAAGCAGTCTGTTATCGTTAGCCGTTTCCGGTTTCATCAAAAATGTCAAGGATCAGAACAGGGGATAAAGGAGTTTGTGGCTGACTTGAAAGTCATGGCCGATCCATGCGACTTTGGATCAAGTAGAGATGATATGTTACGCGACAGATTTGTGTGTGGACTCGCTGATCAGGCGTTGCAGAAGCGGTTGTTGACCGAGGAAGATACTCTGACGTTCCAACAGGCGCAGCGGATCGCACTGGCAGCAGAGACGGCGACGAAGAGCGCAAGACAGCTGGCTGCCCAGTCATCCGATCTAGCGGCGCAGGACGTTCACAGAGTTGGATCTGCACGACAGGTGAAAGGGTCACCATCCAATCGGTACGTCAGATCGGAATGTTTCCGCTGCGGAGGCACTAATCATTCACCTCAAACATGCCGCTTTAAGACGTACAAGTGTCATTCATGTGGCGAGCAGGGTCACTTAAGTCGCAAATGTCGCAAAAATGATCAAGATCATGTGCGCGCCTCGCAAGCTAAATCTACACACTGTGTACTGACTGATGAGTCTGTCAGAGTATCAGAGCCTAGTCAGGCTGCTGAAGAGGATAATGTTTGCAGCGTGTACACTGTGGGTGAAGCAAGGTCCCCTCCAATCACAGTTGACATCATAGTGTTTGGTGTGCCCGTTACCTTTGAGGTTGACACA